TATAACTGAAAATGACTCATACCCACTGTCAAGAATTGATGATACTCTTGATGCCCTAAGTGGAGCCAGGTGGTTTTCAACTCTAGACTTAAAGTCGGGTTTCCATCAAGTGAAAATGGCTGAAGCAGATAAACCTAAGACTACCTTTAGTTATGGCCAAGGTCTTTGGCAATACTGTGTGATGCCAGCAATGCTCCAGCAACATTTTAGAGGCCGATAGAAAGAGTACTGGAAGACCTACAATGGAGGATAGCCCTAGTGTACATGGATGATGTCATAGTGTTTGCAACAACGTTTGATGAGGGAATGTCCCGGCTAGAGGAAGTATTCAAGCATTTGAAAGCAGCAAACTTCAAACTCCTTCCCAAGAAATGCCACTTGTTCCAGAAAGAGGTGCTTTACTTGGGTCACATTGAAAGTGAGCATGGTGTGCAAATTGATACTGACAAGGTGAAAGCAGTGCATGATTGGCCAACACCAGACAATGTGGGAGAGTTAAGAGGTTTCATTGGACTCTGTATCTATTACCAGAAATTCTTGAAGGACTTTGCGCACTATAGCTGCTCCACTACATGATTTAACAAAAAAAGGACAAAAGTTCGAATGGATAGTTTCTTGCCAGCATGCTTTCAAGACATTGAAAGAAAAATTGGCCTCAGCTCCACTTTTAAAGCTTCCTAATCCCTCACTGCCGTACATACTGGATTGTGATGCTCGCTATGTCGGAATTGCAGGAGTGTTGTCTCAGAAAGTGGGTGAAAACGAAGATGTGGTGGCCTACTTCAGTAGGGTTTTGAGTAGACCAGAGAGGAACTACTGTGTAACACGTAGGAAACTCCTTGCTATACCAAAGAGTCTGACATATTTCCATCCTTACCTCTATGGGGCTAGGTTTACCATCAGGACAGACCATGCTCCATTACACTGGTTAAGATCATTAATATCCCAGAGGGGCAACTGGCACGTTGGATCAGAGAGATAGACCAGTATAATTATAATATTGAATATAGAGAAGGAAAATCCCATGGTAATGCTGATGGACTGAGCCGAATACCCTGCAAAAATGACTGCAGACATTGCTGCAAAAGAGAGGTTGAACTAACCAGGTGTCATCAAACTGAAGTCAAAGTGATTGAAGGTGTCGATGATGGTGAAGTGGAACCAGGTATAGATATTAAAGCAGTGCAGGAGAGAGACCAAGATTTGAAGCCAAAAATTGATTTTCTACAAGCAAGTGTTTTGCACCAGTCGTGGGAGGCAAGG